AAAAACATCCGGTGTGAACTTCAGCCTCAGCCTGATTTTTATTCTGCTCATGAACAGGTAGCCACCTACATTAGTGCTTATCAGTATTGATTGGTCTCGCAATGAAGCATTTTGATATAACAAATGATAACAAATGTGTTGTGGGAGTTTAGCAGGGCTGCGGTTAAGCACCCTGTTTATCACTATAACTGAACATCGAAAAAGTAATTTCTGTAAAGAAAGTGTCAATGAATGTTTTTAAAGTCTTAATTAGATGAAAATAAACAAGCGGAAGGGAAAAGGGAAGCAGAAGTAGCAGAAAATGGAAATTATTGTCTAACCCTATTTTTACTTAGAATACTCTGAAAGTTTTTTTGTATCAAATGATGGATACTGAAGTTTTATTGGTCATATGTATTTACTGCAAAAACAAGGAACTACTCCAACACACACAGAATGGTAGAGACATTAGCAAGACATCACATGTAATTAAGGTCTTAATGTAAAGACATCATTTTTTAAATTATGATGTTTCTCATACATAGACTTTACTTAGGCCGCCCAGGATTATTGACTTTCGCCAAATATCCTCCAATATAGTGTAAATTAGGGATGCCCTTATACATCAGTGTATGCCTGTTTTCTTTCATGTGTACATTAGTAAACAAGATGACATGGGGGATGGCAGTAGGCGATGTTTATCTGTTTTTCTGGCCTTTGCTATTTTATGACTTGGTACTGTTGGAAAATATCAAGTTAACCTTAATCTGTTGAAATTCTGAGGGCCATCTACAGGTTGAAGGATAACAACACTAACTGGGGCAATCTACTGTAACTTGAAAGTATTCCAGAGGGTCTTCTGCAGGGTTTCCTCTCTGTGAACACTAGGGGTGCACGATTCAGGAATTCTCACGATTCACAATTCAAAATCAATTCTCAATTCAATACATTCATAGATTTGATTCTATATTGCTGTTTTGAGTTACTCTTTCTTAAGTTAAACTTGTATAGGTCTCAAAGAAAAAAAATCACACTGAATCACTGAAATTCACATTTGCTACTCAATGTCAACTTGAGTACGTTTTATTTTTCCTTTTAGTCCACTCAGTCGATAGAGGGCCGAAGTCCCTCCCCTTCTGGTGGACCTCCATGGGACCTTATTTCGGAAAAAGTATGTATTGAAGTCAATGGAGAGAGAAAGATTATCTTTCGATCCCGTTTGAATTGTGCCACAAATTACACCCATTATGTTTGTCAATTTAAAAGATCATTTTGTAAGTCAAAAAATAAAAATGTGTCGTAAAACTGTGAAGTAACACATTTTTTTTGTGTGAAACCGCTCAATGAACTACATCTCTGGTCTCGCACCACACACCAAGATGGCCGTCACGTTAGCACATTTCACTTCTTTCTTTCAGAATGAGGCGAAAAATATTAAAAGAGGTGAAAATCACTCCAAGTCTGGGCATGTTGAGAACTGTAAACACAAGGGGAGTTAGTCGGTTCCGTAAGAGCCAGCATGCGGGACCGGGATTTTGGGATTTGTAGTCTTTCTCGTTGCATATTTTTCATAGTCTTATATTTCAACAGTTTTACGACAAACTGTGACTTTTTTGACATGGAAATGATTTTTTAAGATTGACAAACATCATATGTGTAATTCATGGCACAATTGAAACGGGATCGAAAGATAATCTTTCTCTCTCCATTGACTTCAATACATACTTTTTCCGAAATAAGGTCCCATGGAGGTCCCCGGAAGGGGAGGGACTTCGCCTCTCTATAGACACCAAGGCAGCCCTGAGACAAAGGTTCAAATGAATACTTAATACAAAATAAAAACTGATTGCAAAGATAAACTAAGTGCGAAACTCAAATAATAACTTAAATTCATACTCCAAATAACAAAATCAAACAAATAATAGCTGCCTGCTACATTTAGCTGTAAAGTGCTGTAACTAGTGGTTGACTTTTAAAATGTGAACTAAACTTCCCTGGAGTATGGACTCAAATAAAATCAACAATAAACACTGTTAGGCAGAGCTCTCCATCTGAAATCCTTCTTTGTCCTACTGTTCTTACAGACAATAAGTCAGGAGCACACAGTAACACAAAATAGGCGTATTATAATTCCTAGCATCAGAAGTAGCCGAAAAATATATCAGGCAAGTTAACTTTACTACACTTCCTCAATAACGCGAGTCCTCAAGTTTGTAGTGTTTTCGAAATATTTCACCTTCGCTTTGCAAAGCTTGCATATTGCATTCGTCTTGTCGAGCTCCTTCTTCCCTGCGAAAATAAAATCCAAAATATGTCCAAATTAAGGACTTCATTGCCGATGGGGCAGGTTGCAGCAAGACTGAAAAATGTGAATCGATTCTTGTAATTTCTTAATCAATTCTGGATCGGCAGAGATAGAATCGCGATTCTTATGTGAATAGATTTTTTTTGCGTACCCCTAGTGAACACAATATTTAGATCGGTAAATTAATCCAATGTTCAGAGAGGTTCTGAGGTTCAGAGAGGTTCTGAGAGGTTCAGAGAGGCTCAGAGAGGTTCTGAGGGGTTCAGAGAGCTTCTGAGAGGTTCAGAGGTTCAGAGAGGTTCTGAGGGGTTCAGAGAGCTTCTGAGAGGTTCAGAGGTTCAGAGAGGTTCTGAGAGGTTCAGAGAGCTTCTGAGAGGTTCTGAGGCTCAGAGAGGTTCTGAGGGGTTCAGAGAGGTTCTGAGAGGCTCAGAGAGGTTCTGAGGGGTTCAGAGAGCTTCTGAGAGGTTCTGAGGTTCAGAGAGGTTCTGAGGGGTTCAGAGAGGTTCTGAGGTTCAGAGAGGTTCTGAGAGGTTCAGAGAGGTTCTGAGGTTCAGAGAGGCTCAGAGATGTTCTGTGAGGTTCTGAGGTTCAGAGAGGTTCTGAGGGGTTCAGAGAGCTTCTGAGAGGTTCAGAGAGGTTCTGAGGGGTTCAGAGAGCTTCTGAGAGGTTCTGAGGTTCAGAGAGGTTCTGAGGGGTTCAGAGAGCTTCTGAGGTTCAGAGAGGTTCTGAGGGGTTCAGAGAGGTTCTGAGGTTCAGAGAGGTTCTGAGGGGTTCTGAGGTTCTGAGACAGTCCTTGAGCCACGGGAACTGCAGTCGGTGGCTTCATTGTTTCGAGTTCCACCTTCCCCAATTATTGCATTTACTTCAGTCATTCAAACAAATGAACATTTATACAGGTGGTGTTTTTTTAACTACAGTAATATAAATGTCTAATGAAGTAAGCTGGTGTTTTAAGAGATGCAGCATTGAACATATTTTTTAAAATCCTAGTAGTTCAGTCAAAAAGCCAGCTTTTCTCAACACAGCTATGTTTGTTATTCATTTGCCAACATTATAAAAAGTAACAGTTTATCAAATGTATAACATCACCCCCCCCTTTTTATTCTAATGTTGGTCAGGATGGAGGTGTGTGTGATGGTTTGCCTGGATGTGTCCTGGCTGAGTGGGTGTAGAGCAGGGAACAGAGCTGCATGCTGACTCACTGAAGTACAAGTAGGTGGAGGATGGAAATTGAGGCTGGCTGGTTTTGAGACCATAGAGACTGGCTGACCCAGTTTCCACTCCAGCACCAGTTCTTTTCATTGTTCAATCATGACATAGTGGTTTCCCCCCCAGCGCAGAGCTTTGTCCCTGTGTGGCTCAGCGAGCTGTCCTGACCAAGAGCTGAGCTGCTAACTGTGCTTCTTTACCTCTGCATTCTGTGCTCCATGTACATTCGTTTTTTCTAGGTATTTTTTGGGCCAGAGAGTGCCTTTTTATTGTATGCTTTAGTGTAGAAAGGGGGAGACAGAGGGGAGGACATTGCCTGAAATGTTGGGCTGGCCCAGGATTCAAACCGGCTTACTAGCAGCAGAATCTGCATACAGCCGCCCGTTCTAACCACTGAGCTGTCCCCCAGCCCATCGCTGTACATTTAACATTTAGATGGAACCAACATGTTTAGAACTCCATCACATGTTAAGACTAGCTTTTATTGCATTTTCATTATTTTTCAATCAAGAGTTCAGCTAAGACCTGCAGTTGAAACCTGCGTGGAAGCTAGATGCTGTCAGAGTCCAAATCTGCGTCTCTGGTCCCAGTTTACAGTCCACTAACCCCAGTCAATGTGAAATAGGAAAGCATTTAGCCAAATTGTAAATGGACCTTATACACATTTATTTACGAACACTGTAATTGCTTTTCCAACAGAAGTCAGCTAAACACTGGGGCAGAGGCAGCCTTACAAGGTGCCACCTCCTCATCAGGGACAAATACATGAACAGGCCGTTGACTGTGCCATCAGGAGCAATGTAGGAGTTAGGCATGCTGTCCACATGGGCCGGGTATCAAACCATCCACCCTCCGATAAGTGTCCGAGCTTCAGATCAGCCGCTCCTCCTCCTGAGGTTTCTCCTTAATCCTCTCTTCTGTTTTTAATAGTGAAAGCATAGTGTTTTATAATACAAACAATTAGGTAAGCTTAACAGCATATCTTGGATAGGAAATACATTTAGCTTCGGCCTGGAAGTAATCCGGAGACGGCTTACAGGTGCGCAGAACAGTTGAGGTGCAGTTAGAGCCTCGTAGCAATCGTTAAAAATAAAAAGATGACCGGAAAGGAAATATCTTTAGTGTAGTTGTTCTAAGCTTCAGCCACTATAGCTTATAAAGTCACTTAAAATGTATTAAAAAAATGTTTTCCATTAGGGGTTATTTTGCCATTATAGTATTACGGGTGTGTGAGTTACTACTACTACTAGTACTACTCATTACTACGGAGTAGTAGTACTAGTAGTGCTTCCGAGTGCTTAAATGGAAGAATGAACACGCTGCAAATTCAGCTTTGCATGCAAGTTAAAATGGAGAATAGAACAAATCTTGTAGCTTTCATAATTTAATTTCCAATGGCTCATCAAGTAGAATCCAATTAACCCAGAATTATTAGTTAGAATTAAGGAATTTGATTTAATTTGAGATTTGATTTGCACTTGACTGATTTTCCCCTGCCTCTCTCCAGGGGTAGATGGGTTGCACCAGCTGTTTGAGGATCAAATTATATCGGGGCACAGCGACCACATCAAACCGGATGAAACTAGGTCAGGCTGAATCAGAGCAGACTGAGAGCAGACCCCGCTGATCCAGGCGAGCCCCGGCCCCTTCCAGTTTCATATCCAGGTAACTGAAGCAGCTCTTGTGCAGCCTGATCCACTCATGTTTCACAGTGGGGGGGGGGGTCGTATAGATCAGGCTGACTCATGTGACAACAGCCTGCGAGAAGAATGCATGGTTATTGGTCCTTATTCACCCTGCTGTCTGCTCACATTCACTCAGCTACAGGGTCATATCATGATTTCGGGACCCCCTTGAAAACGAGATCTCAAGGGGTTTATCCCAATAAATACAATTTCTAAAAATGTATGATATCTGGCACTATTACACTGTTGTTCATTGAATCTGAGGTTTCAGAATATTTACTGTAGTATTGTATTTGAGTGGTTATTGTAAGTGTTTTAACTGATGGCATTGTGTTTGTAAAAGTGAACATTTACCTCCTGAAGTAAAAGACAATGCGTAACGAAATGAAAAGCTGTTTGTGGTCACAGGGACAGAACATATCACATGATGGATTCAGCTTATTATACATTTATATATCTGAGGCTCAACATTTAGCCATTTGCCATGTTTGGTGCTAATGAATTGTAATCAGTACTATGCAATGCAGTTACACCAAGCACACCAGCTTAGTTTGCATACTATGAACGTCTGATGAAAGATTCTCGTGGTCTAACTCCACATGTTGCCCAGTGATGTAGAACTGTACAGCAGGGGGTGTCTGCACACTGAAACTGCTACTTTGTTACTAAGAGCACACTTCTTGGTCACTTCCTGGAACAGACCTTTGAAGAACTATTCAACCCGAGCGCTATGGTCAAGTTACTCTTAAGTAAAGTAACTCAATAATTAGGTAGCTCGGTGAAGACGAGCCTCAGTAAACTCATAGTGTGTTCAGTAGTTGTCATCTAAATAAGTGCACAACATTTGGTCCCATTCAGTTGTTCATTGAAATACTTTTCTTGGAAATGAGGGAATTGCACCAAATGATCACAATGTTTATTGTTTGGCAAAGATCTGTGCAAGATTTTAATATATTCTTAACTTGCATTTTGACAAAAAGATTTGCCTTGGCTGAGATTTGGATATTGTACTAGACTAGTTCATATTGCTATTTCCATCAAATGCGGTTGAATTGTTAAGCCATAATACACATGACTATGATTCAGTCTTTCATGGAACAGATATGGTATGACATAATCCTCTTTAAAGAAATGACTGACAGAGGCAGTGTCTTCCTTTTCACTCTGCCTCCACACTGACCTACATGTCTGTACACCTGTTGATGCTTTTACAATGACTCCTGCTCTGAATGACACTTGATTACATGTTATTTGTTCACAGTTGAGGGCCCAAGAGTGGATGGAAGGAGATGATTTTAACACAGAGGCTGTGATGAACATCTGTGGTGAGACTGACTTCATATTAATGTTCCTTTAAACACAGACTGTCGCTCTTAACAACCTCAATGTTTTTGACCCATCATAATGAAAGTGTCTGAAACATACCTGTGGATATTTCCATTGAGACCGCTTTGAACCTTTGATTTCATGTTTAGAGCATGACATTCAGCAGTACTGCAGTTCAGTCAGACAACAACGTGTTCCTTTAACATGTTTATTAGAAGCAGCATATAGTTGAGTTTGGCGACTAGGCTCGGGCATCATCACTCCATAGATATACATAGCACCATGAGTGATGATCAAATAACTAACCCCCGAGCCTACAGGTGGAAGCTGGGGTGGAAGCTGGGGTGGTGGTGGGGCAGCGAGCAGCAGCGACGTAGAGGTATCTGCAGCAATAGCAGCAGCAAGCAATGCATGGAGAGAGATCTGGCAGGTTAAATAGAGCGGCATATTAAGGAGACTCTGGTTGGTTGGTTGTAGAGTGGCAAGGGGGCGTTATGTATGAATGCAGCATAAGTGCTCGAGTTGACTGCCTGAACTAGCTCGCAGGCTTCGCCTCATTTAGTAACAAGACTATTCCTCCACATGCCTTTGTCATTGGTTGGCAGCAGAGGTCGTGTTAACCGAATATTTTCCGTCTATGACGGATTTTTTTTAACAATGACGGACAAATCTGAAAGCAGTCGCTCATTTTGACAGATTAGAACAAACTCGGAACAGCGCCACAGTTTCCCCGCAGCGAGGCTCCGGTGTTATGCCGTGTTACGCACGCCCTCCAAAAACGAAATGACACCGTTTCTAAACCTAACTGTGCCGTACAAATCAAATCATTGAAATGTCTGAGTTTTGGCTTTACGCTGTGCACGCTCCCGCGAGGTGCAGCAGCCATGCATAACACGGCGCATGTGAACTGTCTCCCCCCCGTTGGCAGTTCACGAGCATGCTTCCCCCCCCCCCCGTCAGAGTTGTGTAAAGGCCGATGGGTAATTCTGGTTTTACGATCCTGTCCGTCAAAATGACGGGCAGCGGAAAAGTCTAGCGCAACCTCTGGTTAGCAGTTCATTTACATATGTGAACAAACATCGGTTACAATACACAGGCCCAGCTTGATACATACTGGAGTGCTTACAGATATTGCTCACTGTTTGTCTGTGTTATTTACATTTGATTCTATTGTCATGCATTTGAATTCTCCATGGAAACAGTCTTCACTGTATAGTTTCCCCTCATCTGTTGACATATAGCCTGCACAATGAATGTTTCCGGGCAATTTAAACCACATTTAAAGAGCGTATTTTACAAACAATATAAATGTTTTCCGCGGAAACATAAGATTACAATGATCAGTTATTACAAAACCCAGGTAGCCCAACCGTTTCTAATGAACTCCATAGAGTGAGAGAGCTTTGGTGTTCTCTCTGCAGATGACCTGATGGCAGACCAAAGGATGGACATCTCGTCTACAATGACTGACTTCATGTCGCCCGGCTCCACCGACATCATCTCCAGCTCCATCAGCACGCCCGGCATGGACTACACCCGCAAGAGGAAGGGCAGCACCACGGATTACCAGTGAGTCCCCCAGGAGGAGAGAAGGAAGCACAGAGGATATCAGAAAAGAGGATGAATCAGGAACATTTACATGATCACAACAGCAGAGGTATAGTGCCGAGGAAGTGAAGGGGAAAGACTTGCATATGAAAACATATTAAAGGAATAAGAAAGTAGGCACGCATTATTATTACAAATATCAAAAACTTAAAGTAAGTATAAAAACAAAAAACAACATGAATGGCAAAAATGAAAAAAGGCAGCGAGGAGAGAAGGAAGAGTCAATAAATATAAATACATAAAATGATGTGTACAATGTCAATCAGTTCTTTGTTTACATATTGTAAAAAGATGCACACTGATTCATACATGTGTTTTTCCTTTCAGAATTGATGGCTTCTCCTTTGAGTAAGTTCAAACATGACTCCATGTGAATAATAGTAGCACCATTTCATTGATCAACTTCTGAAACATATAGGACCCACTGTTGATTTTGCAATATGCCATTTTGAATCAACTGAAGAACAAACGTGTTAATCCTGTATGCATGAAACGGAAGTTCTGTGGTTCTTCTAAAGGTCTGTGATGTTCTTATTGAAATGTAACCTCCTGTCTTTCCTCTTCAGTGACATGGACCCAGACAAAGATAAACTGGGAGGGTAAGCAGCAGCCACCATGACTGTGATGATGAAGAGGGAACTTTAACCATCAGTATTGCTGTGTTTACTTCGTCTGCTGCTGAAATGATGCAGTTTCTGCTTTGAATCAGTTAACCCCAACTTGAAGGGTTGGTTCACCCAAATCACTTCCAAACAAATATCCTACCTCCAGTGATATGTCTGCAAGCGGGTGCTTTCCACTGACTCTTAAGATGTCTGATGGCACACCGATACAATGATAGTTTTGGTTCATCTGGTTAAGGGTGCTCACAGCATTGAAAGAATGACACTTTTTTTTTAAAGTCATTTTTTTACAGAAAATAATGTTCCCTTTTTAAGAAACTTGGTCAAAATAACTGAAGCGTTCACTGTCAGCAGCTTTCATTGGACCTGCTTTCTTTTGTGTATTTAAAGACTGAAATCAATAACTACATATTCAACTCTGTCTTGATTTATGACAATGACCCAATGTTGACATCTGTAGTTCCATATCCTGTCCCTGCTAAACTGTGTAGGTCTTCTGATTTCTAACTGCAAGGACTTAGCGCTCTGCACTGTAACAGAGTGGGCCTTTCTTTCCATGGATCTAATCTCAGATACTCACAAAATGTAAAGGTCCTTGCTTAGATTTCAAACTAAAGCAGCTCGAATTTGCCTTGAAATTCAATCCGGCCTTATCAAGCTAAACAGTTACAGTCTGTCCAGCGACAGTAACCTCTGGTGACAGTAGGCAGGTGCAACCATCCCTCATCAAGTTAACATTTGTATGCGGGAGGATTTGCTCGGTGAGACTTGGAACACGCGTGTAATTAAACTTGTTCTTGAGGCCCAGTGACGTTCAACTCACATCATTGTAATGGTTTGTTAGCAGAAGCCTTGGCAAACCACTAGATATTACTCAAGCTAAAGGAAAATGCATTTTCATGATTGCAACCCTGGGAGCAGAGCAATCATAAGAATACAATATTGAATTCTCATCCCCTCTGTTCATCATTCCTGTGTATTTCAAATACCTGCTCCCTCATTCATTTCAATCTCAAGCTTTGACCTTCATTCCTCTCAAATGTTCTCCTCAAACATTTCTCTGTCTGTCTTTGCAGTGACCAACAGGGCCGGATTAAGAATGCCAGGTATAAACCCTCCCAGTCCTCTCTCACTCCCCCTGCCTTCTAGTCTTTCTTACATGAATTAAATGTCCCTCTGTCTGATTGGAACAGAGGGAGCTTTGTGCACGGTGATAATAAGAAACGTTATACATTGAAATGTATAGATCTGAACATAATGTGTGTAAGAGCATACCGAGCGGCTAATGACAAGCTCCCTCTGTGGAGAGAAGTCCCTTTTATTAGCAGCTACAGAACCATTTGACAGACCAGAGAGATGTGTTCAGTCCTGGAGGACGCACTCAACAGAGAGACATTTCATCTGTAGAGGACGGTCCGTTCTGAGCTGCATTTCATATATCATGTTAGATTAGACTGGGAGCTGTGCACTTTAAGGATTCTGTCTTCCATACTGAAGGTGAAATCAACCAAAGTGTATTTTCTTTGCATTCATGGCAGTCAGATGAGTTGTGTGTTCTAACCCTCTCTGCTTCTCCCCACAGAGAGGCTCACAGTCAGATCGAGAAGCGGCGCAGGGACAAAATGAACAGCTTCATCGACGAGCTGGCCTCTCTGGTGCCCACCTGCAACGCCATGTCCCGCAAACTGGACAAGCTGACGGTGCTGCGCATGGCCGTCCAGCACATGAAGACCCTCAGAGGTTAGCAGACCCTGAAACACACTCTATCGACACAAGTCTGTACAGCAGACCACCTCTGCTGGCAGAGAGCTCACTGCTCCATAGTTTCTCTGTACTGGACATACACCTTCTAACTGGACCTTCTTCACACTGTACATTTTACATTCATATGTAGTTGATATACTATTCCATGCACACTTACTGTAAAGTACATCATATCCTACTTTAACATTGGTGTACTTAATAGTGTTTATTTGTCAGACAGATGTTTATCTTTTACAGTCAACTTGTATATATTTGGCTTTTTATAGTTCTGTTTTATTTTCTATTTTGAGATGTTTCTATTCTGTTTTGTCTTTCTTCAAATGATGTGCAATGCCTTTGTTGTAACATGCTGCTGTAACAACATGTGTACAGCTTCACTTATCTTTCATCTGCTGAAGAAAAGAACAGGTTTGTAGGCAAGCTAAAACATCTAACAGACCTTCTGCCTGAAAACAGTCCATACAGTTACCTCTCACAGGAGGCACAGCAAGTGTCAGTAAGAAGTGCACGTCATTGATATGTGAGGCTCTGGCACAGCTGAGTGTAATGAAGGGGGACATGTCACAGTAGAGTGATCACAAGTGCATGAGTTTGAAAGGGAGGCATTCCAGCAGCAGGGACACGTCTATATCCGTTTCATCTTAGACAAAGGAAAGCACACTTTATGAACTAATGTGCTCACCATGGAAATAAAAAAAGAATCCTGAAGAAATGTAAGTGAATGTATTGAAGGAGCCAGTAACAATAACAGATTGTAAATAAATAAATTGTAAAGTAAGAAAAATGTTTGAATGCACATAACTCTATAATGTACCAAACATTTGTAATTGTACTACACAATGTTATTTATATATATAAAACATTTTTTGTATCATTAATTGATCAGGACAGGCTTGTTAGGAGGCAATATATAATAATACAACTCTGTACTTCTTTTGAATGACACTTTGTCACTGGAAAGAGCGTCTTTGAGCATCTAAGCAAATGAAGGACTGGGAGGAGAACTTGTTCCAAGACAATGGGAAAAGTGTGTCAAATAATGAATAGAGGTGTGACCTGTGTGTTTCCTGGTGTGCAGGAGCAGCCAACCCGTACACAGAGGCCAACTACAAGCCCTCCTTCCTGTCAGACGATGAGCTGAAGCACCTGATATTAAGGGTGAGTCAAAGGATCCAGTCCGTCAAACCCTCTCAATTATTCATTTTCATCATTAACTGCAATTCATTGTTTTGTTTATGTTTTATTGTATTCAAAACATCAACGTATTTATTATGTTAATATCATAAATAATAATGTTCTGCTCAGGTCTAATTTGACCTGTTTCAAATCAGGATAAAGGTTTATTTTATGTTTGTCCCAGAAAAAGAACATGCTTGCTTGTATACTACAGTTTTCCATGAGAAAATAATCTTGATCACTTTCATTAGGCTTTGGGTTATATTCAAATGTATATAATCTGTGGTCTTCTGGGATTCATTTTGTAAAATCATTTCAACTTTTGTTCCTTTTAAAATCAGAAATGAGGTTTGATTTTGGGTAAATGTGTTCTTAGTGACTATACATTTCAAAGAGAAGAGTACAACTTGTGGTAATACAAAGGAATAAAGACACATTTGGGGGATTATTTATACTAAATTTAAGGCAATTTGTGTTTGGTAGATGATTTCTATGTTGTAACAATGCTTCTTGGCAATACATCTTATACCGTTGGAAAGCCTGTTTTCCTACCTTTCCAATTTTGCCACTTTTGTGAGGAACAAGCATTTGTGAGATGAGCAACAGAGCTGGGTATGTGGGGTGTGCCCATGGGAAGACGACAAAAGGGTTAGGAGTGACTTTCCTTAACAAGGAAGATGTATTTGTGAGACTCCCCACATTGATCCCAGTGTTCTCTGTGTTTGAAACCAGGCTGCTGATGGTTTCCTGTTTGTGGTTGGGTGTGACCGCGGGAAGATCCTCTTTGTTTCTGAGTCCGTCTTCAAGATTCTCAACTACAGCCAGGTACGCTGACTCATGTTAATGTGCTGCTGTTTACTATTATTTATTATCATTTATCCCAGCCTCTCCGCGATGAACGACCTATAGTCTGTTTTATATTTTAAACGTTTTATATCCTTCTGTCAGTCACTCACGCTCATGATTTCATAGTGTTGACCATTTGGAAGAATTCAAAACGTTTATCACAAATCAGCAGAATTTCCTCAGTATAAATAATCAAATCCCAGCAGCAGATCATCCCAATTTCCTGACTTCAGTTGGAAATTCTGTCTCACAGTTAACTTTAGATTGAAGATTTAAATTGCCTTGCAGTTTTCTGAAAAAAACCATGCATGGTAATGGAAGAATAATTGATGGCCTTCAGAGAATTAGATGTTGGAGATGTTTTTAGGTCTGTCCTCGACTGTATTGTTTATGTTCTCTGCCTCTGTTCACCTCTCACTTAGTTCCCTCTGTTCCTGCTGTCTCTCACATGTGACCTTCTCTCTGCAGAATGACCTGATAGGTCAGAGTCTGTTTGACTACCTTCACCCGAAGGACATCGCCAAGGTCAAAGAGCAGCTGTCCTCTTCAGACACCGCCCCCCGAGAGCGGCTCATCGATGCTAAAAGTAAGAGTCCGAACACATCACCTCATGTGTGGCCGTTAACATACAAGAGTACTAATGGCGTGTTTCCACTGCAGCGGGTAGCTCGCTTTAAGCGTGCCGAGCCGTGCGGGGCCCGTTTTTGGTTGCGCTTCCACTTGGCCTAGTTTTGGCCCGGGGCTACTTTTTCACCTTTTTTCTGGCCCGACTAAATCGTGGTTCTAGGGCCAGGAACAACCAGGCTGAGTCGGGCTGAGTATGCTAAACTAGAGAGAGAATCGCTGGCAAGGGGGCTACAACTACAACAAGATGAACATATTTGACCGTGATTTAATTCTAATACACGTTTCTAAATGATGCCGAAGTAACAACATACTGATACCGGTTAGTAAAAACCATGAATTAATGCTTTGACAAGTCTGCAGACAGACGGCAGGCGAAAAAACCTTTTAAAATGCAGTGTTTTCTAAATGGAGCTTGGCTAAGCTAACGTTATATATGCTCCGACCGTCCACACTCACAACAACGGCCTATACAAACATAAATAAACCAGCGACTGTATTCGCCATGACACAGGCAGTCTGTGGTTTGTACTTGTTTAACTTTTGTCTAGTTTCTGAACAGATATGAAGAGCTGTGAGCTCTGAGTGCTAAGAGCTAACGGCTGTGTTGTTTTTCTGGGGCTCTCATTGAAGATCACGTCACGGCTCCGCCTACACTGCGTTACTATAGTAATTACCCCAGTTCCTAAACTGTAATGGAAGCGCAGCATTAAAGTGAGCCGGGCCTAATAAGGTCTAACCAAACCGAGCGAGGCCGAGCGAGGCCTGCAGTACTGGAAACGTGCCATTACACTTCCTTTAACATAGGTCCAACCATCATTTATTAACAGGGTTCCCACGGGGTCTTAAAAAGTCTTACATTTGATATTATCTGAATTTAAGGGCTTAAAAAGGTCTTATATATGACCAAAAAAATAAGAATGGTCTTAAATATGATTTAGAAGGTCTTAAAAATGATGGGATTTGAAAAGTACTTTGTACTGTGTTGCGATCACGTCTAAATGTGTTTTGGGGGAAATGTCCGGGCTGCAAAGTAACCAGTACGGTAATAGCCTTTCAGTTCCCCCCAACAATTTGTATTGAATTAAATCAACATGGAACCAGTAACCACTAACTTTGTTTCCCCCGGCCCCTTATCGGAGAACACCCAGCTAGTAACCTAGCAACCAAGCTAGCGGCAGTCAGAAACTCAGGTATCTTCGAATCTATTTACAAACAAATATGGGGAAGTGTAACTTCAACCGTATTTGGTTGGAAAACATCAAATTTAGTGCTAGGTTGAAACCAGTTGAGGGGAACGTGTTTGAAGCCCGCTGCACCTTTTGCAACAAAAAAAAATAGCGTTTGTTTTGCTAATGTAGCGTTAGCTAGTGCAGCAGCGGCTAGATCCCTTCCTGGGTTTTAGGCGGCGGAAGTGACGTAATCTGCCACCCAGGACAAGAGACGAGCATATTACATGTATTATTTTCGGTTTTGTATTTTTGTTTCCAGCAGTGGCGAGCCGTGACTTTTATACCTAGGCCCTCTGATGTGCATTTATCTAACAGGTTCGTTTTCCACAGACCTTATTTCGAGCTATTTTCCAAAATCCTATGGAGAAATCCCATTGCTTTCTGTCGAGGGAATCCCATGGATGTATAATAAGAACTGGATACAGCGTGGGAGGCGGGGCCTCATTCATTCCTATGAGAGTTGCTCAATGGCGCATGATGACAAAATTGCCCAACTTTTGAGAGAGCGAAACGTCACAGATTACCCGGCATGCCTGAGAAGTACCCGTATGTGCACTCATAGAGCATGCGCAACTTTAACCACGCCGCCCAAAAGGCTCGTTCACATTAAGCGCGTGAATTTGCGTACACGTTACACGTAACAGCACCGCGCGTTCATGACAGCATGGTACTGGATTTATATTAACGAGGCAGCAGTTAGCAGCTAGCGGCTAGCTAGTAAATTATGCTAAGTTACACATCAATCGTTATGTACTTTTATATTACGCTGACATCAGGATCTAGTGATATCCAAGCAACAGAGCTTCATTTAGCATGATACTTGTGTGGGTTGTACATGAAACCACTTGGTAATATATCAAAATGTATATGTTGAAGCCTGTTATGATCAATTGTGAGTTAAAACTTTATCTAAAAAGTAAAACTGATGATGGATTACTGTGGTGGAGTTAAAATAACAATATCCTATTTCTTTTTGAAATGTGATGGAGTAAAAGGATAGTAACTGTGATTATTCATGTTAAGTAACCCACAAGTAACTAAAACAATTGCAAGTGCAATAAGAAGCTACAGGAACGTTAATCTACGTCGGTAATATTAACTTTATTTAATACAACATTTACGGTACAAGATGTAATCATACAGCCCATGTTGTATAATATTTTATAAATGATGAATTACAGCAAACATGTGCAATATATCCATTATTACAGCTCCGTGGGCTGGCAGTAAGGCGATATGGTCCGTTGTTATTGTGCATCTATGGGTAAAGAGAAACTCATGTAGTACTGAACACGTAACATGAACGTGCCGGGCGGCGCGGTCCCGTGGGTTAGATGCGCGTTCATAATGCAGAGGGAAATAACTCTCAGAATAACGTTATTAGCACATCTTTACAACTTGAGGAACGAATGTTTTTAATAAGGGCTATACAAGTGTTCATACTGGGTAGTTTATTTATTTAAAAAAAATTATCCAACGAGTTACAGACCACTCTTTCCCCATGTAAGTCAATGGGAAAAAGTGTTTCCGGGCCCAGCAACCTAAAGGAAGTGTAGTACCGCCGTTTGGCCACAACGAATAATCTCATCAGACTCCGGCGCACTTCCTGGGGGCTTGGGAAATCCGAGCGAAGCTTACTTCCGGGTTTTAGGATGCGTCACTGCACCACTTGCATAGACCTCACAGCGGGCGGAACTTGTCATAAAGTCCGCGAAAATAAAGCCCGCCCATTTAGAGGGAAGATATGATTGGTCAATTGTACTGTCATTTGACATTACTCTCTCATTGAGTTACTATAGCTGGCCCTCTGTGAATGTAGAGAGGGACCAACAAGCTCTCCCGTCTTCACATAACTCGCAGAGACGGCATTTAACCCTTCACATTCCAACAGAAACTGAACAGGCAGATTCGAAGGATTTATTTCTTTGGAAATGTTATTTTAAATACAATTAAATCAAGTTATTTTGGTAAAACGAATTAAACATTTAACAAACAAATATAAAAAATAATATTTAAATATATATATTTTTTTTTAATTTATGTTTTCAAATATTATTTTGTAGAATATCTTAGGCCCTCACAGAGGGCCTAGAGGGCCCTGACGGCTTGCCACTGGTTTCCAGGTATAACATTTAAGTTATAACAATCATAATTTGTGGATTCATTTCATTATGGTATTTGAGTTTGTTTCAGATTAACTTTTGTATTTGATGTTGCAATTTAATTTCTCCAAGAGACAAAAATCACTAAAAGATCTGGTGGATATCTGACCAGTATTTATATATATATCCTAAATGTTCTTTGGGTTTTATCCACAAATGCAACACAAATAAGAACTGTAAGTTATTATTTAATAATCAAACCATTATTATTGAAATGTAAGTATATTTCACACATTTTAATGTTGTTATAGAGTATGATCTCATTATTCGTTAATGAACCTCATATTTGTGACAAGACGTGCATAAGCGGAACTCTCCTCTATTTAGGGTCAACTTTAAACTTTTAATACAAAAGTTGCCGACTTCTCATCCACGATTACGTCACTTCTGCCGACTAAAACCCAGGAGGTATATGATCTAGCACACACACACACACACACACACACACACACACACACACACACACACACACACACACACACACACACACACACACACACACACACACACACACACCACACACACACACACACACACACACACAGAGACACACACAGAGACACACACAGAGACACACACACACTTTTTGTGTGTATGTAAGACACTTTTTTTTTACACGCTAACACAGTTCTGTGTGCTGTTATGCTGTTATGTTCAGTCATCGTTCATTGTCAATTTTCGTATCAGGATTTCTATCAGACTTTAGAATGGAGAAAGCTGACTCACAACTGAAAGTCAATCAGAACTTGGTCATGGTATAGTGCTACTTACAACAGATAGATTAAAAAAAATGCAATACGTCGTCTTGCTTATAGTATTGAAATACAGCACAACATATTGAATCACTACATGTATCTTGGCAACTGCCATTGTTAGTTTTCCCCTTTGGATCTAGCCCTGTGTGACTGTTTTTAAATTGTATTTTTACTATTGTACAAAAATAAACTGTTCTATTTTTGACAATTGAAACACGTCTCTTGTTCCATGAGTAACCGAACCTGTGTGTCCTAGTGACTTAAAACGTGTCATATTTCCCTGGGTGAAATTCCCGGGGTGGCGTTGTCGGACTTAGTGGTTTAACCAAACTACTGTTAAATAAATACCTTTCATCTGCGGCCGCTGCCACCGGCAGTGGCTCAGTCAGTAGGGGCTTGGACTGTGAGCCGTAGGGTCGCCGGTTCAAGTCCCCAAACAGACCTAAATATGGAGTGTGGACTGCTACTTGGAGAGGTCCCAGTTCACCTCCTGCCGTGGTGCCCTTGAGCAAGGCACCGGACATCCCCCTTCCCCCCTCATTCCCATTACTCCCCTGGGCGCTGTACAATAGCTGCCCCACTGCTCCTAGTACTAGACTCCTGGTACTAGGATGGGTTAAAAGCAGAGAACACATGTCACTGTGTGTGCTGTGTGCTCTGCATGTGTGACCATTAAAGAGGGTTTCATCCCTCCCATTCTATTCTATCTTGGAGCGATCGTATCACCATATGTTCCGAATACACAGCCCAGTGTTATGTCCATTTTTTCTGTGATTTAAAGCAATGATATAAGGATCATAAGGCATTTACATTGTTCATTCAAATACCCTTTTAGTGTAGACTCATCTTGTGAAAGCAGAGATTATGGGTTGCCTTGAGTTGATCTGATTTTCTGCTGAGATATATCAGCTTCCACTTTCTAATTTGGCTAAAAGAATTTACAAAAAAGAGAGAAGTCTGATTCAAATATTGAACAGAAAACAGCTTTTACAAGGATGCAATGCAATAATGATGCAACATAAGTACAACTACAGACAATGGCTGGTATAGTTTTAAAGGTTAGATAATGGAACAAACTATTACAACAAATCTATGGATCGATACATGCAGAAAGGTTGAGCTGGGCATCATTAAAAAAGACACTGAATAACAATACAACATTATATTTAACTACAGGAGTTTCATGCTGGTGGGACATTATTAGAATACACACAAGTTATTGTTTTGCTTTGGAGAATGATGAAAATATTACAATAATGCCAATACATAAAAATAATACCAAAGAAGGACAACAAACACATTGTTTTAAAGGTGTGTGTGTGTGTGTGTGTGTGTGTGTGTGTGTGTGTGTGTGTGTGTGTGTGTGTGTGGTGTGTGTGTGGTGTGTGTGTGTGTGTGTGTGTGTGTGTGTGTGTGTGTGTGTGTGTGTGTGTGTGTGTGTGTGTGTGTGTGTGTGTGTGTGTGTGTGTGTGTGTGTGTGTGTGTGTGTGTGTGTGTGTGTGTGTGTGTGTGTGTGTGTGTGTGTGTGTGTGTGTGTGTGTGTGTGTGTGTGTGTGTGTGTGTGTGTGTGTGTGTGTGTGTGGGTGTGTGTGTGTGTGTGGTGTGTGTGTGTGTGTGTGTGTGTGTGTGTGTGTGTGTGTGTGTGTGTGTGTTGTGTGTGTGTGTGTGTGTGTGTGTGTGTGTGTGTGTGTGTGTGTGTGTGTGTGTGTGTGTGTGTGTGTGTGTGTGTGTGTGTGTGTGTGTGTGTGTGTGTGTGTGTAGCTGGGCTCCCGGTGAAGACGGACATCCCCCCCGGCCCCTCCAGACTCTGCTCTGGAGCCAGACGCTCGTTCTTCTGCAGGATGAAGTGCAACAGGCCTTCTGTCAAAGTGGAGGACAAAGACTTTCCCTCCACCTGCTCCAAGAAGAAAGGTACAGAGTGTTCTCTAGAACGTGATGAAATGTAAAGCTGCATACACCAAGCTCTGTGCGTCTTCACATCAGGTTCTCCAGTCCAGGACACTCCTCTGCCTTCTGGACTCAACACACAGCATTCTGTTTTTCTCCTTATGAGATCAAAAGCTATCCTGGTGGCGAGGCACATCCTTATTAGGACCAGGAATCACACTTCAGTTAGCAAGACACCATCTCCATTACACAACGTGGCCTAAAGCGCATATATTGACCGATATTCATTTAACGCTCCCTGAACCCATCCCAAAGAGCAATAGAACAGCTGGATTCTTGCTCAGGAGCAGAGGTGGATAAAGGACTCAGATCCTGTACTTGAGTAACAGTAGAAATACTAGTCTTTCAAGTTGCTGTGCTGTTACTAAGTAAGAATACAAGCACTACACACACCTCAGTTTGAAACCCTTTTATACTTTCAGACACTGATGTGCTGATGTTCAAACACGTCAACATGGTTACGAAATGAACCTGCAACCGTTCACCATGAGAGGATGGATCAGATTGAAGATGGGATGTTAGCATGAATTCAAAATACTAACACACAAAGAGATGGTCAGTGTTGCTTTCAATCCACATCCAAAGGGCCCCACAGTGGAAGTACTGGGAAGTGGAGCGGGGAGTCCGGTTCTTTAGGCCCAATTCCAAACCCTCCGTTTGCGTGGAGGGTGTGCCTCATTAAGTGCTGTTCCAAACCAATGAGTGTGGAGGGGGAGTGGCTTATCAAGCCCTCCAACAGCGAGTCTGCATCACCTGACTTCACCTGCTGCTCCACCTGACCGACTCAACGCTGTGTGTGTCCGTCAGGAAACACACAGATAAACTGCATAACAAGAGACATTTAACATCGTCATACAGATGTTAACAACGTCATGGTTACCATCATATACCCGTGTTGAATCTAGAAAACGGTAAACGTGTGCATTTGATTGTAAAGTCTTGTATATTTTCAGACTCTTTTCAAAAACTAAGCTGCTTATAAACATCTGATTCAAAAACTAAAAGAAGAAGTACAGAAAATGAAACGCCATTTAAAGATTTTTTGAGTTTTATTTGAGTTATTCTTTTTTGTCCAAGAGATGGTGATTTTGAACCATTGTTACAAAAAGTTACGGCATTTCCTGTTTCTGCTGGAGAGAGGGGAGTTCATCCCAAAGCTGGTGTATTTACTATATACAATACAACAAATACCATATTGAAAGTGGAGTGCTGTGCAGATTTAAAGAGGTGGAAAGGCTTTTGAAACAAAGATCTTCCTGCTGCATTATTCACAGCAACAAGTGAAGTCTGCTCTGCTCTGCAGTGGTTACAGATTAGGGGAAGCATGTACTCTATCTAGCTGCTGCTTAGTTTACTCTCCCCGACCCCAGCATTGACTAAGCATATTTCTAGTCCGAACATTTTTTTGCAGGCCATTCAAGCACAGTCACGCAGCCCAGAGTAGCGTCACCATTCATGTTCAATCTTTTAGTGTTAGCTGAATATTTCATGATGCTGTGTTTCAGTCACTTATAAACCCCTCCATAGTGATACAATACCTTTTCATTTGATGAAGAATATTTCATCTTTTATTGAACTTTTATAACATGATTTAGAAAACAAATCATTCTTATAAGGACCCAAGATAAAGTGAGTCTTTTTTATTATATGGACCAGTTACCCTCTAAAGAATTATAATATATGAACTGTTTCCAAATGTGCCTAGCCAATCAGAGGAAGTTTAATAATTCTGAATGGTCTTTAAACTCTGATTCCACTTCCTGTTTAACTCTAACCCTGTCTTTGCCCCCCCCCCCCCCCCCCTCTCATTGCAGCCGATCGTAAGAGCTTCTGCACCATCCACAGCACGGGCTACCTGAAGAGCTGGCCCCCCACCAAGATGGGTCTGGACGAGGACAGCGAGCCCGACAACGAGGGCTGCAACCTGAGCTGCCTGGTGGCCATCGGCCGGCTGCACCCGCACATCGTCCCCCAGCCCAGCCTGGCCGACATCCGTGTGAAGCCCACCGAGTACGTGTCCCGACACGCCATCGACGGGAAGTTCGTCTTCGTCGACCAGCGGTGAGAACTGTCAACCAGTGTGTGTGTTTACTTGATTTTATTCTTATTTACATATTTATATTTATCATCTATGTGTATATTACATTTTCTAGGTTTTACATTTGTTTGCTTTTTGGAATCTACATGCGTACGTTGATTGTTCTGACAGTAAGAGATTACTGCTGACCTTATGGAAGAATCTTAAATGCTTTTTTAGTGCGTTATTTTAAATAATTGTATTGATATGAATTATCACAAATAGTTTATTATACCAATGCTCATACCAACACATTTCAGTCCCACCTAAAACGTTATGAAGTTTAGATGGGTATATTTTCCAATCTGAAAAACAGAGGACTCCTTACACAGTTATGTGAGAGGAGGGAAGGTTGTCCTCATGAACAGAGAGTCAGTATCACTGTAATCCAGCATCATTTCTTAAGACATGCATAATAACCCTCTGTGACCCACAGAGCCACAGCCATCCTGGCCTACCTCCCCCAGGAACTGCTGGGAACCTCCTTCTATGAGTACTTCCACCAGGACGACATCGGACACCTGGCAGAGTGTCACAGGCAGGGTGTGTGGCAGACACAAATACCTCCAGATGTTAATGAACCTGAACGCAGCAGAGCTCTTCAATATGTTTGATGTGTCCACAGTGCTGCAGATGAGAGAGAAGATCAACACCAACTGTTACAAGTTCAAGATCAAAGACGGCTCCTTCATCACGCTGAGGAGCCGCTGGTTCAGCTTCATGAACCCCTGGACCAAGGAGGTGGAGTACATCGTGTCCACCAACACCGTTGTGTCGTAAGTCCACAAACACCCCCACCTCTGAAACTGATGGAGCGTGTCCTACTGTGAAGTATTAAACGTGTCTCTTTGTGCAGGTGTCCTATGATGGAGGGATCCGACTACCCTCAGTCTGCGGCCTCCCCACAGAGCATGGACAGTGCTCTCACCTCAGAGGGTACACACACTGCTGCAAACAATGCACACCATCACAACAACAACAACCACAATCTGTGCCAGTGGTGCAACGTGTGAAAATGACATTCTTTTCACAACTTCTATGTATTCTGTATGTACACGTTATACATTAACAAGGCAGCGGGATAGCTTATCCTTCCTCATATTTCCTCATTAGTTTGTATGGTGGTGTCAGGATTACTACACAGATGTGGAAATGAATGTAAAATCATTTCTATATCTTGACAAGTAGTACTTGTAAGAAATACTAAAATATGATATTGTTCAGCTCCAGACACCGGTTACTAAATGTTTGTAGACACACTGTGATCTGATTGAATGCACATGTGTAAATGATAAACTGAGACATCATATTGTTGGAATTGCACTTATATTTCTTAAGAGATTTCAGGTTGTAGTTAGTTGATAGATAGTTCATTAAATGTGAACATTTTCAGAATGTACTTTTTTGCTCTAAATCAACAGTTATTGGTTATTTCTAGGTTATTATGCTATGATTCTACTGGGCCGGCCTACTTCATCAAGTTGGGCTGTATGTGGCCTCTGAACTCAAATGAGTTTGACACCCCTGATCTATGCTGTGAATCCTTTCAATTGTCCTTCTCCTGTTGGCTGGCAGGAGGAGGGAGGCGGCCCCTGCAGACCGTCCCTGGCATCCCTGGGGGGACGAGAGCAGGAGCCGGGAAAATAGGACGCATGATCGCAGAGGAGGTGATGGAGATCCAGAGGTGAGAAAGACAGAATCAGAACCAGAGAGGTGAGGAGGGGGTCCGTCCTCCACCGGAGAACCCCTGTCTGTATTTAGTGTAGATTATGGTGGAGGCGACACACAGACGTTATGGCATGACTCACAAATGATGGCGACATTCTTGGCAAATAAAAAGGTTGCACCTCTTTAGAAAACATGTTATGTATGTGATAATCTAACAGACGGGGTGTGAAATAGAAACTCCCACTGAGTATTGAATCCTAAATAATGCCGACTCAGACAGCTGCTGTGGTGCTAGAATTATGCTGAAACAGTCTGCACTGACAATATCTACCTATCGTCATGGCAACGCTTACACCTCACACAGAGTTGTTAAATGTAGGCTGCACGCCCTAGGGTCTGGATGTTTCTACCTGTGAGGAGAAGTGACTCACAGCTGGTGTGTGCATGATGAGGGAATGACCATGTGTGTCTCTGTCAGGATCCGAGGCTCCTCCCCCTCCAGCTGTGGCTCCAGCCCTCTGAACATCACCAGCACCCCCCCGCCGGACACCTGCTCCCCAGGGGGCAAGAAGGTAAGACACACACACACACACTCTCCATAGTTGTTGTTCTTTTAAATCTGACTGAATCATATTGTGAATCTGAATCATTCCTAATAGAGTGGTTCAGGAATTAAACCTGGGAATGAGTTAGCATTCTAGCAATTCCTGTTCCCTCATCTCAATATTTACCTATTTTTGGTTCAATGCCCAAAATAAGTTCTGTGGTTGTGCTGAAGAGATTTTCAAATGTTGTACTACCACATAAAACACGTCAGTAATTACCCCACTGGTGGATTTAAAAAGGGAGGTTGTTAACAAATGTCTAAATGAGACGACTAAACGCCATCACGCCCAACATTAGCCGCCTTTAGCTTAGCGGTGGTGAGGTGAAGTCATGTGACCGTGCTGTAGTTCCTTTATAGCCCAACATTAGCCACCTTTAGCTTAGCGGTGGTGAGGTGAAGTCATGTGACCGTGCTGTAGTTCCTTTAGCCCAACATTAGCCACCTTTAGCTTAGCGGTGGTGAGGTGAAGTCATGTGACCGTGCTGTAGTTCCTTTAGCCCAACATTAGCCACCTTTAGCTTAGCGGTGGTGAGGTGAAGTCATGTGACCGTGCTGTAGTTCCTTTATTGCCCAACATTAGCCTCCTTTAGCTTAGCGGTGGTGATATGAAGTCATGTGACCGTGCTGTAGTTCCTTTAGCCCAACATTAGCCACCTTTAGCTTAGCGGTGGTGAGGTGAAGTCATGTGACCGTGCTGTAGTTCCTTTATAGCCCAACATTAGCCACCTTTAGCTTAGCGGTGGTGAGGTGAAGTCATGTGACCGTGCTGTAGTTCCTTTATAGCCCAACATTAGCCGCCTTTAGCTTAGCGGTGGTGACGTGAAGTCATGTGACCGTGCTGTAGTTCCTTTATAGCCCAACATTAGCCACCTTTAGCTTAGCGGTGGTGAGGTGAAGTCATGTGACCGTGCTGTAGTTCCTTTATAGCCCAACATTAGCCACCTTTAGCTTAGCGGTGGTGAGGTGAAGTCATGTGACCGTGCTGTAGTTCCTTTATAGCCCAACATTAGCCACCTTTAGCTTAGCGGTGGTGAGGTGAAGTCATGTGACCGTGCTGTAGTTCCTTTATAGCCCAACATTAGCCACCTTTAGCTTAGCGGTGGTGAGGTGAAGTCATGTGACCGTGCTGTAGTTCCTTTATAGCCCAACATTAGCCGCCTTTAGCTTAGCGGTGGTGAGGTGAAGTCAGGTGACCCGTGCTGTAGTTCCTTTATAGCCCAACATTAGCCACCTTTAGCTTAGCGGTGGTGAGGTGAAGTCATGTGACCGTGCTGTAGTTCCTTTATAGCCCAACATTAGCCACCTTTAGCTTAGCGGTGGTGACGTGAAGTCATGCGACCAGTGCTGTAGTTCCTTTATAGCCCAACATTAGCCACCTTAGCTTAGCGGTGGTGAGGTGAAGTCATGTGACCGTGCTGTAGTTCCTTTAAGCCCAACATTAGCCACCTTTAGCTTAGCGGTGTGAGGTAGTCATGTGACCGTGGCTGTATTCCCACTTAGCACCCTTTAGCTTAGGCGGTGGTGAGGTGGAAGTCATGTGACCGTGCTGTAAGTTCCTTAATTGCCCAACATTAGCCTCCTTTAGCTTAGCGGTGGTTGATTATGAAAGTCAATGGTGACCGTGCTGTAGTTCCTTTAGCCGCAACATTATGCCACCTTTAGCTTAGCGGGTGTGAGGTGAACGGTCATGTTGAACCGTGCTGTATTTCCCTTTATAAGCCCAACATTAGCCACCTTTAGCTTAGCGGTGGTGAAGGGTGAAGTCATGGTGAACCCGTGCTGTAGTTCCTTATAGAGCCCACCATTAGCCGCCTTTAGCTTAGGGCGGTGTTGACGTGAAGTCATGTGACCGTGCTGTAGTTCCTTTATAGCCCAAACATTAGCCACCTTTAGCTTAGCGGTTGGTGAGGTGAAGTCATGTGACCGTGCTGTAGGTTCCTTTATAGCCCAACCATTAGCCACCTTTTAGCTTAGCGGTGGTGAGGTGGAAGTCATGTGACCCGTGCTGTAGTTCCTTTATAGCCCAAACATTAGCCACCTTTAGCTTAGCGGTGGTGAGGTGAAGTCATTGTGACGTGCTGTAGTTCCTTTATAGCCCAACAGTAGCCAACCTTTAGCTTAGCGGTGGTGAGGTGAAGTCATGTGACCGTGCTGTAGTTCCTTTATAGCCCAACATTAGCCGCCTTTAGCTTAGCGGTGGTGAGGTGAAGTCATGTGACCGTGCTGTAGTTCCTTTATAGCCCAACATTAGCCACCTTTAGCTTAGCGGTGGTGAGGTGAAGTCATGTGACCGTGCTGTAGTTCCTTTATAGCCCAACATTAGCCACCTTTAGCTTAGCGGTGGTGAGGTGAAGTCATGTGACCGTGCTGTAGTTCCTTTATAGCCCAACATTAGCCGCCTTTAGCTTAGCGGTGGTGAGGTGAAGTCATGTGACCGTGCTGTAGTTTCTTTATAGCCTAATATTAGCTGTGTGTGTGTGTGTGTGTGTGTGTGTGTGTGTAGTGTGCTGTAGTGTGTGTGTAGAATAATATTAGGATGTGTGTGTGTGTGTGTGTGTGTGTGTGTGTGTGTGCTGTGTGTGTGTGTGTGGTGTGTGTGTGTGTGTGTGTGTGTGTGGTGTGTGTGTGTGTGTGTGTGTGTGTGTGGTGTGTGTGTGTTGTGTGTGTGGTGTGTGTGTGTGTGTGTGTGTGTGTGTGTGTGTGTGTGATGGTGTGTGTGTGGTGTGTGTGTGTGTGTGTGTGGTGTGTGTGTGTGTGTGTGTGTGTGTGTGTGTGTGTGTGTGTGTGTTGTGTGTGTGTGTGTGTGTGTGTGTGTGTGTGTGTGTGTGTGTGTGTGTGATGTGTGTGTGTGTGTGTGTGTGTGTGTGTGTGTGTGTGTGTGTGTGTGTGTGTGTGTGTGTGTGTGTGTGTGTGTGTGTGTGTGTGCGCGTAGATTCCGAACGGAGGGGCACCTGACCTGCCGAGCACTGGGATCCTTCCTGGACCTGACTCAGTGGGCTACCCCTACTCCAACCAATCCATCATGAGTGAGTTCACACCACACACACTCCTCTCTGTGATGTTTTTGTGGATTCTCATAGACTCCTCCCCTCTGTCCAGGTGACAACTCCCACCTGAGTATAGACATCATGGACGAGCCGGGCTCCAGCAGCCCCAGCAACGACGAGGCGGCCATGGCGGTCATCATGTCCCTGCTGGAGGCCGACGCCGGGCTGGGGGGACCCGTGGACTTCAGCGACCTGCCCTGGCCTTTGTGAGGAATCTGGGGGAGGGGGGGAGGCAGGGACTCCGTCAGCAGAGCCGTGGAGAGAGTTCAGGCAGGGTGAAGTCTGGCTGTCCCCCCCCCCCTGACCACACAGCAGAGACATCATCTAACACATGTATGGTCCAGTAGAGAGGTTGCAGAACTGCAGGAGGGTTTTTCAGTCTGAACACTTCACACCTGCACTTCGTTCATCATTCCTTGTAGCTGAAGGACTGACCCTGAATTTCATCAGGGTTTTTATACAGCGATCCTCCGATGTGTTAGGATGATCCTTTCTGCAGTGTTGGCGTCTGCACACTGTATCAGCCTCGGGGGGTGGGGGGGGTCTCCAGGACACAGTGCTCACGGTGGTTGACTGAACTCTGTCTCACTCTGGCTCTGGCCCCCTCCCTGTCGGCCCCCTCCACACCAACACAGGACTCTGAGGCGTTGACTAACACTGGTTGAAGTTTGTTGTGGGGGGGGGGGGGGGAATCGCCTCTCTAATACCTCATTCACACCAACGGTGTTTCAGTGCCGGTTCGGAGCTGGAGCTTGAAAAGCACCAGATTTTCCTCTTCACACCAGCAGCGGAGCAGCCTCTTAGCTCCGGAATCCGGTTAGTTTCGAGCACCAAAAATGTTTCCTGCCAGAGCAAAAGCACCACATACGTCACGCTTACGTCGAGGCGGGGGCGGGGGCAGATCAACTCCTGAACAACAACAAAAAGCCCGCGTTTTATCCAGTTTGTACAACGATGGAGAAACTTAACAAGAGTTTCAGAGTTTCAGTGTTTCTGCCATAGACTGTATATATAAAGGTTTCTGCTCATGGTGAAGCAACGTGTCTGCGTGTTAAGGTGGAACCTGAGCATTCACGTTGATCACCTCTCATTATAACTCATTATAAATCTATAAAACTATAAATATTCAACTTTACTTCACGTGTTCATTTGAGAACAGCTGTTACATACCTGGGGGAAGGTTACAGTTCATTTAAATGAAAGATACAACGTTACTCCGCACTCATGGTTCAGTCCACCTTAAGAAATAAGACCGACCTCGGAAGCGGTTGTGTTTTAAAAAAACCTTTATTGACACGAGTACACTTTTTTATAAGAATATAACTAAACCACAGAAATGACTCCGGAAAAGCTGCAGATAGAGCCATAAGAAATGAATGCAACTGATTTCATCCGCACGGTTTGGCTTTATGAAGCAGGCACGCGAACGGTTACGTCATGACGCAAACGATGACGCAACGACGCATTACCAGTCGGACTCTGGGCGGTGTGAAAAGAGCCAGAGCTAAACCGAAGAACTGGTTCTGAACCTGAAAAGCTCTAGCACGGAGCTTGAACCGGAGTTGCGTTGGTGTGAATGAGGTATAACTGTACGCTTGAGGCTCCTCACAAGAAGTTGATGCCGTACACACACGGCTAAGATGCCTCCCCCAAACATGCCTGTTGTACCGGCTGATGGAAACAAACACACAACAGTTCTCCTCTGGAGGCTCCCCTGGGAGAGAGGACTTTATTCCCAAACCACAAACCACGATCTGTTTCAGTTCCTGCTTTTTCCTAAACCAACATGAACGTTTGTCATTTTTCTAAAAGCCACTCTACAGCTCATCCTCACTAAATCATCGATCAAGAGTGTATTCTGAATTCAAGTATCAAATACGTTTTGAGTACACATTTGAATGCTGTCCAAAAAGAATACTCCTTAAGCTCAGTACAGGTTTTCACAAGTCCCAATGATGGAGTCCATCAATATTAAACCAGTGGGACACCTAACATGAGGTACAGAGCAGTAGCTGAGCCTGTCCCTCTCACAGGTGGTCTGGTCACGGGGTCTCCCTCCTCCATCACAGCAGAACTACACGCAGCACCCAGTGATGCAGTCACACTGACTGGGTCAGCGTTCTGATGGAAGTATTTCTTTGCCTTAGTGATCTGAATATTTAAATTGTAATGTATATCTCTGTACCTTGGCTAGCGTTTAGCTCTGAGAAATGAACAGCGCAGACCTAACTTGTTTTGCCAAGTTTGGGAAAGATGAAATACCTCCAAGTTAATTTCTTCGCAGATATTTACAGTATGTTGACAAATATCTGTTTAGCACTAACATACACTGTAGTAGTACAACTACATACAAACTACCTAGCGGAGAGGAGGATGGGGTGAGGGCAGAAATATGTCCCAGAGATGCAGGGAGGGGGGGGAGTTGTGTGTGTGTGTGTGTGTGTGTGTGTGTGTGTGTGTGTGTGTGTGTGTGTGTGTGTGTGTGTGGTGTGTGTGTGTGTGTGTGTGTGTGTGTGTGTGTGTGTGTGTGTGTGTGTGTGTGTGTGTGTGTGTGTGTGTGTGTGTGTGTGTGTGTGTGTGTGTGTGTGTGTGTGTGTGTGTGTGTGTGTGCCCCGCCACGCCCCCTCCGGTCCTCCTCCAATCAGGCAGCAGCTGGCAGGTCTCCATCTGTTCTGTAGTTTTCTGTTTTTACAACACACTACAATACAGTGCTCCCTCTGTTGATACGCCCCCCCCCCCATCTGACAATAATGTATCAAATCTTTAAATATGATCATGTTAAGAGTATACTTTATGCAAATATATATGAGTATAATGAGTGTATTGTATGTATCAGCAGTGAAATATTTTTAAAATAAAATGATTGGTTTCTGTCTTTGACATGATGGTCTCTGTCCATACAATGTTCCTTTCCTGTTTAGTCATCAAATACATATCATGCTGCACAATTTGAAAACATTTACCTATTGGCTGATATCACAATTGTAATAAGATTTGTTGTATTGGATCTGTATCAAACATATCTGTGTGTATGAATATATATATATATATATATATATATATATATATATATTTGTTCAGTCTGTAGAATAGGATTTGTATGATACCTTTTTAGCTCAACAATACGTCACTTATCATTCAATTTGGTTTCCTCTAAATTCATTTATGGGATATTTTATAAAATGTAAATTGTGCAGCCTTTCATGATACAGTCATCGCTTACACCTGATGTTCTCTCAGCCAATCAGAGCGGCCCGTGGTATTTTTACATGAGGTTGCCACCCAGCGCTTGGCAGTCTGCACGCAGAGGAAGAGGCGCTGCTTCACAGTCTCCTTATTAAAGAGGTCAGGTCTAAAGAAAACGGAGTGAAGAGAACTCCAGAAGCCCTGCTGCTTATCTGTCGTCTCATCATGTGACTTAAAACATTATTTAAAGCATGACCTTACTCTGCATGAAATTATGATTTTAACTGGACGCATTTCCATATTTAATCTCCATCCTAGAGTCAGGTCATCTTCAGATGTTGGACATGTTTGCATCTGTTGCCAAACCTTCAGAAAACCCCTGGTGTTAGTTTAAAAGTTAAAAGTCAAAATGTGGCCTGCTTCAAAAACACTGCTGAGTTCTTTGTCCTTTTAACAATCTTATGTAAATGCACAAATATATTGGCGAAAATGAATTCATTGTTCTGTGGTTATTCGTGTGTATATTCCTACATCTTAATACTATTAAACGAAGGAGCTCCTAAACTCCCAGGACTCTTTGTTGATGTCACAGCTGTTAGATATGTATCAATAATATTCATCATGTGATTCCACTGTGATCACATCACCAGACACCCATCATATCAAGACCAATATCAAAGTGATGCCTTATACACGAGAGGACACATATTTGAAATCATATAGTATTTATAATCATGTATAATACAAATAAATGGCTGTAACTCAGAAGGAGCAGTCAGTTTGTGTCTGAATTTAACAAGAGGAATATCTGAATTTCACACAATCAAATAAAATCATGGAGGATATTTAATAAAGTTAATGCAATTGTATTTCGTATTTTTTCCAATACCATATGAAAGTGTATTTCTTTATTTTATCAATAACTGTATAACCAAATAAACCATGGGTCCAAGAGCTCACAGTACAGTATAATGCAAGACGTTTAGAATATCACACATAACCAAAATGAAAAACTATTTTCATCTAACAATTATTTTGAGATTTCACAAAGCAACACCAGCATAATAAATATTGATTTTAAGGACTTTAAAGGTTGGTTTCACAATTGTAATACAATCTATGAGGACCTTGTTTTTCGATATCAAGATTTAAATCCTCTTAAGACTTGTTAGGGATACCTTAAAACCTTATTTTCTTTCTGCCTCAAGCTGAAGAACACACAACAATAAAACACAGCTCTAGGGGAACCTGGTAGTGTTGCCAACACTGAGATCATATTACATTGCATTTAGCTGACGCTTTTATCCAAAGCGACTTACAATAAGTGCGTTCAACCAACAAAATACAACTTGAAGAAAACAGAATCATATAAGTACATCAGGCTTCATAGAGCAAAAACATTTCAAGTGCTACTCAACTGGCTTTAGATAAGCCAGTCCTTTATTAGTATAAAAGTGCTTCGTTAATAGTTCTAACGCTCGAAGTGGAGTCGAAAGAGATGAGTTTTCAGTTTGCGCCGGAAGATGTGCAAGCTATCTGCCGTCCTGATGTCAATGGGGAGCTCATTCCACCATCTTGGAGCCAGGATAGCAAACCCACGTGTTTTCGCCGATGGGAACTTGGGTCCCCCTCGCAGCGAGGGCGCAGCGAGTCGTTTGGCTGATGCAGAGCGTAGTGCACGGGCTGGGGTGTACGGTTTAACCATGTCCTGGATGTACGAAGGGCCAGATCCATTCGCAGCACGGTAAGCAAGTACCAGTGTCTTGAAGTGGATTCTAGCAGTTATCGGAAGCCAGTGAAGGGAGCGGAGGAGCGGAGTGGTGTGGGAGAATTTAGGAAGGTTGAAGACCAGACGAGCCGCTGCATTCTGGATGAGCTGCAGAGGTCGGATGGCACATGCAGGTAGACCAGCCAGGAGGGAGTTGCAGTAGTCTAGGCGTGAGATGACGAGAGCCTGGACCAGAACCTGAGTCGCTTTCTGTGTCAGCTGGGGACGTATCTTCCTGATGTTGTAAAGCGTGTATCTGCAGCAACGGGTTGTAGCAGCGATGTTTGCAGTGAAGGACAGGTTGTTATCTAGGGTCACACCCAGATTCCTTGCAGTCTGAGTCGGGGAAACAACTGAGGTGCCGATGTTGATTGTTAGGTCAAGAGTGGGACAATCTTTTCCCGGGAGGAAGAGCAGCTCAGTCTTGTCAAGGTTGAGCTTGAGGTGGTGAGCAGACATCCACTGAGAGATGTCAGCTAGACAAGCAGAGATGCGTGCGACGACCTGGGTCTCTGAGCGGGGAAAGGACAGAATTAATTGGGTGTCGTCAGCGTAGCAGTGGTAAGAAAAACCATGCGGGCTAATGACTGATCCGAGCGAGTTTGTGTACAGGGAGAAGAGGAGGGGACCAAGAACAGAGCCCTGAGGGACCCCTGTAGTTAATTGACAAGGGTCGGACTCAGACCCTCTCCAAGTCACCCTGTAGGCAGTGCTGGAATTGGGCCGGTACTCACCGGTACGCAGCACCGGCACTTCTGGTTCTGACCCATGGAGTACCGGCACTTCTTGCTCAGTACCGGCATGCTGGCGGTACTCCGGTACTCATGCACCGTGCCAGTACTCAACACTCTCCCGCCGTTCTTATTATACATCCATATATATATATATACAGCCGCCCGGTACTCAGTAGATGCGTCATGAGGTGCCGAACGGACATTCTCATCGCTCTAACCGCTGGAGTTTCACAGCGGCTGTCAGCTGTTTACTCCTGTCATTCAAACAGAACGTGCTGGAGAGGGGGCGGGGCTTATCTTCTCCATGTAAATACTGTGGTGGAAACGACTATGTCAAAA